AAGTTGCATTCAAATATACATCCTTCATATCCCTTTAGTTAAGGAGCACAAGCTGCTGGGTTGATCAAATGTTGATTATTGACAAACAGTAGGGCTGTGCAATTAATCATATTTTAATCTCGATTACGATTTTGGCTTGCAACGATTACGAAAACAATGTAATCGAAATAAAACGATTATTATTTTTATTAAAAAAAAAAAAAAATGTTTAGTTTTTTTTGGTTTTTCAGTTGAATTATACTTAAAGTTCAGGGTAATCAACTGTTAAACACATACTGTTCACATTTTTTTTTTCAATATATGGATGTTTTCAAAGTAAATGGATAATCGTTTTTAATAATCGTGATATCAATTATTGACCAAAATAATCGTGATTATGATTTTTGCCATAATCGCACAGCCCTAACAAACAGCCTCCAATTTCCCAACTGTCTTTGGTTGTAATAGCCATTAACACCATATGGCAGAAATGTAGGCGCAATAACACTACTTTTTATTATCCACGATCAATGGAAACGATTCAGTTTCCCAAACAAGACAACATAGTTGACTCCACTCGCTGCATCTCCAGTGTGCGAAACAGCACACGTCCCACCGTCCGGGACGTGTTATTTACAATATCGGACAAGTAGATCTCGCAAATTGTCCGTGTCCGCCATTGTTGTGGTTTTGCTTGTCGATTCCTAAGGAAATGCATCTCGCCACTTTCTGTACTGTTAGACGGGGGCGGGCGGGACGTGTAGCACAGTGGCAGGGTTGGGAAGCAAAACTCGGTTCCAAGTAAGAACAAATAACAATTGTCCGGTACCGGGATTAGTAAGAGTTGTGAGGACAGGAGGCGGAGCCCGAGCCCCGCGGACCGCAGCTCTCCCTATGCTCCGTATCGTGTTGCTGTATCAGCTGATCGCTGCACGGTACGGTGCAGCTCAGCTTCTCTCTCTCTCTCTTTCAACACACAGCGGATTCGCTGCCCGTTTAAATTTGTCAAACTTTCTTATGTTCTTTCTTTAACACGTAATGAAGGTTATTAAGCGTTTTAGCTCCTATGTTGTTAATATTGACCGCCATTTCCTTTATAAATGAAAACAGCCTCCCTGTCTGTGTCCTCGCGCTGTCCTCACATCCCCGGACCCCCAGACTCGGAGGAGCACAGGGATGTCAGTATTGTTTATGAAGCAGGGTATAGAAAGTACATTATTGAAATGAAAATACTATTTATTTACTTTTACAAACAGTGAGCAGCTGCAGCATGTGTATTGCAGGACATGTGTTGGACACACAGACTGTGTGGTTGGACTCTGTCTCGCAGGCAGGTTGCAGTGTAACATCAGAGGAGACTGGGCCAATTGTACATTCTCTGCACCACTTAGAACTAACTAAACAATTATTTGTATATGATTGTATTCAATAACCGTAACAAAATTAAACAGTATTGTGATTTGTAAATAGGAATACAGATTTGACTTAATGTTTTCATAAATGTATTTTTCTCCCAGTTTGTCATGGGACTTCATTTTACCCTCTCAAAGAACAAAATCGAGAACCGAAAAGAACCGGAATCGAAAAGTGTAACCGGAATCGTTCAAATCCAAACGATACCCAACCCTATGTGTGATGCAGTAAAATCTTACCGTAAAAAACGTGGGAAAATGTAAAATACGATGCCGATCGATTTTTCTGGACAAGTGAAAAATGTATTCGGAAAAACTGCCAAACTCACTTGTCCATGGACAAGTACTCTCTAAAAACTTTTTCTTACAGTGATCTCAATGTTGACAAGGGCCTTAAATTGGATCTTAAAACGAAAATGTCAGCAGCTTCAGTTTGACTGCGTGCTTGAGAATAGGATAAACAACTTTCTATAAGGCCATCCAAGTAGGGACAAGGCCATGGCATTAAACAGCTCACTGAATAAATCACCCTAAAGAGCTTGATATTATTAATGTACAACTCAAGACATGGCCTCATTTAGTGTAGAAAAACGAGGACGGAAAAAGTTGACCAAGAACGAGATGCTGATTTTGAGATACTGATTCTAGTCGTAAACGCTGTAAAATTCATGTACTATTACTCCAAGAAGTTTCCAAAAATAATGGCCAGTAAGCTTCACTGGTTCATCTGCCACCACAGACAAAAATAATCAATATTTTGGGTATTCTAGCCCTTACTAAAAGCATCAGGGTGACATTTTCACAGGTTGGTTGCAGGTGTCCTGGGGGAGGTTTACAAACAAACATGGAAATCTCCTCTAGCTCCAGCAGAAGAATGCAGTGACAGGCAGGCTGCAGCAGTGTGTGTGCTAAAATGGCTGCTCATTCTCCACAAAGACACACAGCTCAGCTCGAAGAAGGAGGGCTCCCACTCCCAACAATTTCCCTCAAACGTTGCTCATCCTTAGGTAAAGCTTGTCTAGAGCCAATATAGGAAATGCCATTGCGTATAACACAAAGACATATACTCCTTACAATGCTTTCCAAACCATCAAGCAACAACTGTTTCCTCCTTCTTCTACGCTCACATCCTCATCAGTATGCACAGAGTCTTTTTTACGAGAGATGAAGGTAGCTGCAGCGCTTTAGCTCGTCCCCATGCCGTGACAAGATCTAGTTCAGGGACTTCATCTATTCTTCACATAGCAGTTGAATTTGAAAGTGCATTTATCATTTATATTTGTTTTCATGCATTGTTTGATGTGTCACAAGACAAAACAATGGGGACTGGGTCTTTTATTTGAAGATAGAAGAAGAAATAAAACAAATACGACTTTGTTATTACGGTGTTTTTTAGTCGTGTTGTTTACAGTTGTACTTTGAGAGTTGGGAAACTTTAAACTGAATAACTGAGACCTACATTGAACTCTATATCCTGGCTCTTATCTGGACTACATCTCAGCATAGACGCCCAGCTAGACTGATTTGACCTACAACACGACAAGGTCTGCATAACACTACTACACAAACAAACTACCTGCTATCATCCAGCGTAATCTGGCAAAGTGTAACGGACAAGTTTGCATATGAACTGATAAACAGGATTCTTGTTATGATCACTTGAAGCGTATTTCCATTTTAAAAAGGGTATGCTAATTGGCCCTGATCAAATACAGTTCAATAGCAGTGGTGTGTGTCTGGACATTATCCAAACTTACATCATTTCAAAAAGAAAAATCCATGTGAAGAGTTGCCCGGTTATATAAATAAAACTGACCCGACTTAACTCCACATAAGGTCAAATAGCTTTGAGTTGTTGTTGCAGTTGTTTTTGCACTTACTTACAGCACAAGTCTAAATACAGTCAAGGAAAAAGCTTCAAAGAAACATTAACATTTTGAAATGAGTCATATTTTACTCCATTGTTGAAACAGATTGATGTTGTTGCAGCCGGATTATCAGAGATTGTAAAAATGTTAAAGACAGAAATCCTCTCACACATGTCCACCAGTCACACAACTGTCTGAAAATATTTCTGTGTTACCCTTCAGCCCTTCAAAGGCAAACATTTGGAAGTAATACTAATGCATAAATGATCTTCATAACCAAATGATTGCACTACTTTTCGGAGAGAGTCATTGTTATTTAGTAATTCAAGGCTTTTTACTCAACACAATACAATCATCTGTAAGCATTCAGACTTAATGAGCATTATTTAATGTTCTCTCATGCAATTAAATCTCAATTAATTGGTGCATAAACCATCTTTTACAGTTCAATTACTCAAAATGTTTAGTTTTCAATGTGAGCTAGGTCTACATCAACTTGAGTGCAAATCATTGTTTAGCACGCAGCTCCTAACAAGGTGGTATTGGTTAGATAATTTGTCATGCAAAATGGCGAAAAATGCTGTTCTTAGCTTCTCAAATGTGGATTTTTGCAGCTTATCTCTTTTGTTTATGATTGAACTGAATTTATTTTGGATTTGGATTGATAGAAAAATACATAACCTTGGATTTTTTGAGACTAGGACGGACATTTATCACTTTCTTAATACATTGAATAGACCAAAAGATTGTGTTTTTGACGTAGAAAATAATCTCTAGAATAATAAAGAATGAAAATAATTGGTAAATTGCAGCTCTAGTTGAAAACCAATACCTGAATTCAACATTTTAAATTAAGGGTTCAACATATAAAAAAAGCCAAAAGACTTGCAATAGAAAAGTAGGTCAATTAAGGTGCATTTTATCCTAACCTAACAAGTTCGTTGCATCTAAATCACTGCATGTTTTCCACACTGTACATGAGGTGAGTATATGAGAAATAACCAGTGGCTTTTTTGTTGTTGCACCTTTTACAAAGAGGTCAATGTGTCCTTTAAGTTGCGTTGCGTCCAGGGCGCAAGTGGCGGGTAAATCATAATAAACTGCAGCGCCCCTAGCGGCCGTTCACACCACTGTCTTACATAAGCAACAGCCTGGTGTGTTTTCTATGCAGGTGGTGGCGAAGGAGCAAAATGTCCCAGCTCGCACTGCATACGGTAAGAGAAGATGGTGTCGGGAAATGTAGCAGGAAACATAAACAAATGGTCAGGCATGTTATGGAGGCCTTTAGCATGTATGCTCCTCTGCAGCAGGCAGTTAAATTGAGGGGAGGACATGTTGTTATGCATTCAAAAGGCCGTGCTTCAATTCAATTTAAATCAAAGGCTTTATTTTCATATGCACAGTAGCTATAGAGTAGTTATGGCAATGCAAAGCTTAAGTGCCAGGCTCCTTCAACAATGCAACATAAATATGTATACAAAAATATAACAATAAATAAAATATAATACAAATAAAATACAAAAAGCTAAATGTTGCAGAGAATTCAAATGCAGGAGACCGTAAACATGTCAAATGGAATTAGATAAACAAGAACAGAATGTCAAATTAAATACTGTGCAGTGGATTAAATGTTGCTTGTTGTAGTAATACATAATTGTGTGTGATGCAAACAGAGGAATGTTATGATGGCACTTGACAGGTCAGGAAATCAACAGTCTTATCATCAGTAATGTTAGCTTACCTTTGTCTCCTCCTTGTAAATAAAGATCCTTTTCTCCTGTTGTGAGTTGTCACGCTGGATGATTAATTCCCATGCAGTTAGCTAACTTTAGCTAAACCAGGCTTCACTTACAGATGTTTTGACTTTTTATTTCTCCACTTGCATGCATTATTTTGCTGAGGAAATCATGTTGTGAATCCCAAATAGCTTTGGAAACCGGAGGTACAAAGTTAGCAATGTAACGTTGTTGACAAACCTGCGTAGTTAAAAATCACACACGATTTGGAGTTAGCTAACGGTTAGCTTAGCCAGCTAACAGCTCGCTAAATCCAAAACCTTGGAAAAGATCCTTTTTTCTCCTCCTCGTCCGACATATATCCCATCGGTAAACCCGTAAGTAAGTCAGAGAATCACGTGTGAGTGGTATCTGCGTGTCAATGACGGTGCACTCGCGTTTTTAAACCCAAGTTATCGCTTTGGTTTCTGATCTCCGCCATTTCCAAATCTCTCAACACAAACAAACAGCCCAGCTCGGGAGCGCGCAGAACGTCCATGCGCGTTCGCGAGAAAGGGCAGCGTGCAGAGGGAGCTGCTGTTTTGCAATCATGGTTGCAATGTAGGTGTAGCATAATAAAAACAGTATTCAGCAGAAGAGGTGCAAGAAGTACTCAGATGTAGTACTTAAAGAAACAGTAGGAAGTACCAGAGTGTAGAAATACTATAAATAAAGGCTTGCAATCAAAATGTAGTAAAAGTAGAAAAGTATTGGCATTTAAGATTAGATAAGATAAGATGGACCAATTCATGTGTCATAACAGCAACAAAAGAGAAAGAGACACAGATAGTACACACATAATAAGAATACAAGTAAAATAAAGAAATGTATTAATGTAATGTAATGAACAATGTATAAACAGTATTAATAGAAATAACAAAAATATTGTGAGTTAAACTATGATGGAATGATTTACAGTTTCACAGTTATTCATTCAACTGTTAACCTTAACAAAAGTGTATAAAGTAATTTAAATAAACCTCACCGTTACCAAGTAAAACATCAAAGTGATAAATACATTAATGCATCAATCCTTTTAATTAAATAATTCAAACATATCTGGTGTTTAAATGTGCCTTTCTGCATGTGCTTTAGAGGTCAATATGAACAAAGTACAGTGCGTATATTACTGAATTTAAAGTGCATATTCCTTGATATATACAGAGTTTATAGTTTCACATTTACACAAAATAGGTAAACACAGATACTTCAACTAACACTGTTGAATATTTCTAATATTTAATGTTGTGTCTTTCACGTTGCAATGAGTTCTTAAGAGGACTTGTTGTTTTAATTAAATATATCTTACCCTTTTACAAAGAAAAATATAGAATTAATTATATTATTATTCAGACGTTTATTTTAACACCTGTGTGTGATTGACGTCGCTATAGGGAGGAAAAGTGTATGCCCCCAATGTGCCTCCTGCAGTGTGTGTGTGTGTGTGTGTGTGTGTGTGTGTGTGTGTGTGTGTGTGTGTGTGTGTGTGTGTGTGTGTGTGTGTGTGTGTGTGTGTGTGTGTGTGTGTGTGTGTGTGTGTGTGTGTGTGTGTGTGTGTGTGTGTGTGTACTGCATAATCCATACTGTATGGTACATAGCGATGCATACTGTCTGACGCACTTGTAGCTACATAATTCATGAGGGTACAGTATGATTATGTTCCTCATTAGTAAGTTAGGATCATTATCTTTGCATTGAAAAGGTTTTTTATTTCCGTCTGTGCAACAAAAAAAATAAAAGACAAAGACTAAGGTGAAACAAAACAAACAGACATAGTAATACAGGTAAATGTGAATATGGGAACAGATTGTGTACAGCAGTGGTTCTCAAACTTTTTACGTCAGGCCCCCCCTTTGGAGAAAAGAAAAAAGTCGGGCCCCCCCAACACAAATAGTCACGTAATGGGCCAAGTTAACATTTATTAAAAATACATCAATATGAACGTGAGCATTCCTTTCAAAAAAATAAAAAAATCACTTTGCTAGAACAGTGATAATAAAACAATGCTCCATAAGTCTGTGTGCTCAAAAAATAAATACATAATACAATTGTGCAATCCCTTTGCTAGAACAATAAGTTATAATACTTTGCCACACAAAAAATGAAAAGAAAGAAAATGCTGATATTTGGCATAAAGTGTGTCTTATCTCAGCATTAGACAAGACATAAGTCCTGACATCATTAACAACATCACCAATATCATCAACAATCTCATCCACTTTCAATATCAATCTCAGCCAAGGATGAGTGCACAAGACACCCACCAGTACAAAGCATGAGATAACATTTAATTAGGGTTCATTAGGGTTCACAATTCACAAGGGGTACATGCTCAATAGTAGATGGCCCTTCAATCTCTTCTTGAAAGAGGCTCTGGACTCTATGTCAGCAAGGTAGTTTGGCAATGAGTTCCATTATAGCTCTATAAGTCACAGAAGAGTTCAGAAGATGTGTCCTGGGTTTAGGTGCCAGTAGATGGCCTGATGTAGCTTGTCTAGTCTTATGGTCATGCTCGTCTCTTGTGTAAACTATTTGATCATAAAAATACAATGTTTTTAGAAAAGTGATAACACGAGATTGCAGACGTTTCTCAACCGGAAGCCATGATAGGTTTCTATGCATAACTCCAATATGAGTGCGCTTCGAACAGTGGAGAGCTAGTCTGGCAGCCTTGTTTTGAGCTATTTGTAATTTCTGTATATGTGTTTTTGCTGCTGATGACCATATGACCGGACAGTACTCAAGATGTGACAAAACCAGAGACTGAATGACTTGTTTCAAAGTGGTTGGTGTTACATACTTTGTACATTTTCTCGCCACAGCTATGCTCCTTCCCATTTTAGTTATGATACTGTCAATTTGCTTTGTCCACTTTAAACCAAAATAAAGAACAATGCCAAGCAACTTAGTCTCGTTATATAAACGTGTGCCTCGGAAATAATTGTTTACATTAATCGTGACCAAACCGTTTGAGACCCACTGAGATATCTAATCTCAGTGGGTAATCTAAACACTGAGAGAGTCCTTTAGCTCACTGAGCTGAGGTTATCTGAGCCTCTCAGTCTGACAGGCGAGAGTTCTCCCTCCACCTTGTTGTTGAAAAAGCTCCTTATATCCGTTAGCGTAGCTAGCTAGCACCAGATGCTAACAACAACAATCTCCGGTGCCGGTGCGCGCTCTTTCTCTCTCTCTCGCTCGCGCACGCACACAAAATGGCTTGTTACACACACACACAGAGCCGAGCTTGAATGAAACACAGACCCAGACATACTTGTACTGTACTGCAGCATATTATTTTTGAATCAATCATTTTTCAAATTATGAATTTCACACATAAAAATTAAAAATACATACATTTATTGGGGGTGCTTAGGGGGTGCTATGGCTCGGGGGACCTGCAGCACCCCCTAGCGCCCCCCTGACGCCGCCTATTGACCTTCCATCCTCAAAATGTGCATTACACACCTGTGTCCTACAGCGCCCTCATACTGTAGGTTTCTAAGGTTTCTAAGTGTAACTTCCGCCGGTCATGCCGACGTCATAACAATTCTCTTTTCAATTTTTTTGTCATAACAATTTTTCCTCCTGGTCTCTGGCGCCCCCCCTGTAATGCCTCTGCGCCCCCCACTTTGAGAAACACTGGTGTACAGTAAGTTTAGGTGCGCACGAGAGTGTATTGTGTAAATGAAGGTAGCTACAGTACTAAATTAAATATATATCAATATATGAATAACTGTGACCAAAGGAGAGTGCAGGAGGAGAGAAATTAGTACCTAAATAAAAATATATTATTTATTTAAGTTCAATAACTGTATGCATAAATATTAGTAAGAGAATAGAGAAACAATTGTATTCAAAAATAATAATAAAAAGAAAATAAATATTGAAAATAATAATAATGAGAGGATAAAATAAAAACAATACCAATAATAACATTAAAAACTAAATTAATGTTAGGTCATTTAAATAATAATTTATCTATACGTATTTATCTAAGTAATTCATTAAGCATTATTAAAAGGGGAAAACTCCAATCATTAATGAATTCCTGAGAAAATATCTAGAGAGAAAGATACCATATTATCTAAATTGATAAATAGCACTGCAGATAACAAGACAAATATATTCTTTATTTTGAGGTGAACTGTACTTTTCAGGATCTCCATTATACTCCTGCAGGTCTGCTTTTGATAAACATTTCACCCTGAGCATTGTGATGAAATAACATGTGAGAGTAGCGTGAGTGTGGGCGTGTCTTCAGGAGGTTTACTAGGAATTACTCTAAGCAGTAATTACATTGTGTCACATGTGTGATAAGTTGATAAGTCACTTGCATTCATTTAGTGCTCGAAGTCTCACTTCAAAGCAATGAGTTGGGAAAACAGTCGTGGAGATCTGATTTATTGTTATTTGTTTGGGCTTTATTTCCTTTTCCTAATGTAATAATTGCGACCTCATTAAAGCACGCCTGAGATGGGTGGTGTTAAAGATGAGTAACAAATGGCGAATAAGAGGCTTGTTTTTAAAATGTGACAATGACACATCATTAATTTGCTGCCACTGAGATCGGAGTTTTCCTGATTTCCAGATGTTTTTTAAAAGTCAAAACAAGATATAACTTTTAAGTCAAGAAAGCAGACTCCAGGAAGTCTCCTTAGTGAAATAATAATTAAAAAATCACGTTGGAAGAAGTGATATTAGGTCTAACACATCAGCTGTATCTCTATTAAATCAAATTGACAAGGTCACAACTATCTGCAGGGCATTGGTGGACGAGTGGAGTCTGTTTTTAATTTTAATTATTAAAATACAGAGACTTTAGACATATTTTGATTTGTGTACATTGATTGCACCTGAATTATGTTTTTCATCCTAAAATAAAGTTGTTTTCCACAAAATTAGACCATAACAACATGGGAAGTCACTTAGGGGACAGTTTTTTTTAAGGTAAACATTAACAGTTCAGTACCACAGCACCAGGTAACACTGGGAGGAAATGAGGTGAAATGCAGAGGTTAGCTGGGGACTATGGGAAAGGTTCAAATGTTTTTGGCAGAGAAGTGTGTTTTTTTTGTTAAAACCCAAACTTTATGTAGAAAAAGATGACCAATTTCACAGTATGTGTGTTTCTTCTTCTTATGAACTGTAACTGCTGTTTACAGGATAAAAATAATCATTACCAAAGAAGTTCAAAGTTGTTCTGACCTGAAACGCCTTTCTGTGAATTGGGGCAAAAGAGGTTACGGTTAAACCTTATAATGTCCACCTAAAGATTTACTTAGAAGTTATAATCAGATTAAAAGTGACTCACGAAAACATTTTGTTTGTCGCTGGAGGGATTTCCCTTTTCACTGTGAAGATTAGTACTCCTTTTAGAAATTAGATGTAGCAAACCTGTTGTGTGTATTAACATTATGGGAAATAAGTGTCCCCAATATCATTTAAAAAACCCTATTTTATA